AGAAGGGGAGAGTTTCACATATTTTTGTGAAATTAACATGGCTATGTATTACTTAAAACAATTGATGTGGTGCCTATGGTTTATGTGTTGCCTTCATTTTATATACTTGGTTTTGTATCATTTTAGTCTATCAGAGAGACTGGTCAAACACTTGGATAGCAAATGGGTTAATTTGTTTGCTGCGATTGGTCAAGTGAAGCAGCATGGCTGGCACATGGTTGAAATCACATGGCGATGTGTGATATAAAGGGAAAATGGTGGTTGACATGGATGACACTTGCATTGGAAGAAACTTTGGGGGTTGAATTCAACCATAATGATATATGCTATGTATAGACAGCCTATGACCATTGCTATTTTAGCTGCCAAATACTACTCTAGTTTCATTGTGATTCTGAATGGACCCTGAACTCTTGCACAGCCAAATTATTCGCTTATATTTTCTTACCTTAATGGACTTGTGACCGATTTCTCATTTGTTTCAATATGGCTAAATGACATTGGCAGATTTATTTTATTTATTATTATTTTTTTTAATGATTTTATCTTTAGATCTAACTTCTGCCTTTGATTGGGCTTTGCAGTTCAAGAGATACAGTGGTTCTTACCCTGAGGTCATTCATCATTAAGGTAAATTATCTGATTCCTAGCAATTGTTTTTGCAAGATATGGACAAGACGACAAAGAGTGCATATTATTATATATTTCTTCCCTTCCAAATTGAATTTCCCCATTTCTTTTTTTGGACTTTCTTAAAGCCATTGTATTCTTAGTTATTCTATGCCAAATACCTGCATTCAAAGTTAGGAACTGATGGTTTCACAAAATCACTTGCTGTGACGCACATCGAGGGACATCTAATTAACAGAAAATAAATAGTTTCCGTCTTTACAACTTCTATCTGAATTCTTTGCCAGTATTGTTTTTCCCTTTTTCTTTTTGATGTATGAAAGATGAAGCTCTTTAATCTCTGATTAAGAATTCAGAAGCTTTTGTTCATACAACAGCTTATGGTCATGTTTCAAATCGTTTTCTGTGTAAAAGTATAAAATAAGGGATTGCCAGATTTAATTTTCTGCATGGGGGGAAATCCTCACAGGTAACATGGCAAATGCGATTGCCCAGATCTTTGTTCTCAGAAAATCCTCAGTTCAGTGTGGACTGGTGTGGTAAAAGTTGTTGTTGCAAAATTAGTTTCCATATGTCGCCTATTTGATGAATTTGCTGATGCGTGGAGTAGTAGCACCACTAAACAGTAGATGCTTCCCCTGCCTTACCTTTCACAACCATATCTGCCAATACACATGAAAACACATGATCTCTCGAGTTTGAGTCCCTCTCATTCTTTGTTAATACAAACTTGAGTTACTGGAAGTTTCACTTCCAATTGAATGATTCTGTCAGAATACAATGTGGATCAGCTTGTTAAGAAACTTCTCTTACACCTGTTGCTGTGAGAGAGAATTTCTGGTTATTGGTTCATAAAGATGTGGTAAAGGATGTCTCATTAACAAATACACTAGGAATGTTTTATTAAAACCCTAACAGGAATAGCTGTACAAGATTGACTAAACACCTTTAGCAAAATTCCTCGTGTTTGAATCCATAAGGTATATGTATATTATGGCAGTATATACTTTCCTAGGGCAGTAAAGGTCAACTGCAGCTGTTGACTGATAAATATATGTAAGGTATAAAGCACCTTATGGTCCTTATTTAATATGCGTGAAAATTTTTGAATGCCTGAGATGAAATAGAACTAAATCTATCGTGAACTGCCATACTAAGGGATGGATTTTATCAAGTCAATTCAAGTATCTTGAAGCAATACTTGATGATGCTGAACTATTCATCTGAATCTACTATTGGTTTAGACTGATAATCTATTATTATTATCATCATTATTTTGATTGTTTCGACTTTTGATCATTATGTTCTGTAAAAGATATTTGTAACACCATAACGCAGGCTGTTGAAAAGAAGAAAGGGAATAAAATAGGGTTTTTGTTCAAGTAGAGAACCAAATCTGGAGGGTGCGCAAAATCTATATGGTGGAAATGTATTTTGGGAACACCGTCATGCAGGCAGGTGAGAAGAAGGGGGAGAAAAGAGGACTTCTTCAAGTAAAGAATCATCTTTGGAGGGTGCACAAGATGTATATGGAGTATATGTATCTTTTTTTATTTATACGAAAATTGTAGAAGTCAAATTGTATGAATCTCCAGCTCCCTCAGGTGGATTTTAAGAGCTCTCTCAACCCCACCCCCACTCCCCATTCCTCTCTCCTTTCGCCTACTTTCCTCCTCTTTAATACACAAATCATTAAAATATGGCACTCCTGAGGTACTAAAATTTTTCTCCTGAAAAAAGAAAATAATGTTATTTCTGTACAATTGTGTACATAATTGCCCTTGTTTAAGTCCCATTTTTTTGGGAAGAATAAATTCTTGAATAGTGTATTGATGGGAAATGTGTGGTTAAAAAATAACAAAAAGTTTTGGATTTGCGTGTAATAATTTTTTTTTAAAGAATGTGTAGTTGAAATGATGTCAAAACACTGTTGAAAAATGAATTTTTCCAAAAAAAATGGGCTTCAATCAAGGGCAATAGTATATAGATAGATGACATGAAAGAGGGAGAGAAAAAAGAGATGGAAAGGAAAGAAACTTGGTTATTATAACTTCTTTCTTTCATGTCGTCTATCTGTATGTTATTATGTACCCAAAATAAAAAAAAATAAGATAGCTGTGGAAGTTTTGAGAATTGAGAAGATTAGACTGTGCAATGTATATTATAACCAAATTTAATTTTTTTAATTTTATTAATATTTCTAAGTGTATGAATTGGAGCATCATGAGTGCTGAGTGTCTCAAAATTAATATTTTAATATTTTTTTAAAGAGTAATGATGAGTATCATGACTATTATTGTGCATTCGTTTACGTGATACCCCTCAGTTAAAAGACAGATGGTGTCGTAGCACGTGATTTTTCCGTTTTAAAGGACATTTTAACTTTGCCTCTTCAAGTATTTGTTACAGGTTAAAAACTAATACATTTATCAATTTATTTGTTCTGCACACGAAAAATAGAACTTTATCTCGAGTAGCTTCCTAACATTTTTGAATTAATTTCCTAAAATCAGCAATGGCATATAACAAAGTCTAATATCTGGATAACAAAAGTAATGGCTGTCGGCTGGGCATTCTGTACGAGACGATTTCCCTTTGTTCTCAATTAATGTGATATTCAATCGCACGACTTTACATTATCGAGCAGATCAACAAACAAATTAATTCATGAATTTCATTATAGTTAAAGTTACAATACAATCTGTAGGGTTCATAGATAGAATTAGAACAGCAACCAGAATGATCCCGTTTATTCACAAAAACAATATGGAAGAAGCAAACTATTTCATTCCTGCAAATGTTATTATGGTTCACTGTGGACGAAACTTGGGCATTACTGTAATTACCCCAGGCCTAGCATCGTCAAAATGATACCTGCAAACATATCTGAATTTAAGTAAAAATCTTTTAAGAACTTTACACAGTCATAATATTGACAAAAGGGAATTAGTTTCACCCGTTCTCAGTGAGAAAATTTCTGATAGCAGGTGGAAGTGAAGCTGCTCCCTTACTATTATTACCTTTTCCTGTGGAAAGTATTAAAACATATCACTTTTACAGAATCCCATGCACATCTATAACTCAAGATGTTGGTCTTCACATACACAGATATAACATAAAATTGCAGGATACATAAAACGAAAGGAACAAACAAAAAAGCAGCGCAGAAGATTCAAGGAGAGGAAGACAGCATGCTTCCTTGGCCCATTACATCAACCCCCCACTATAATAAACATCAATTAAGCATGAGCAGCAAAAAAAAAAAGGTGCATCTGCAACGACAAAAATTTTTCCCAGATCTTGTAAAGCTGGTCAACAGTCATCTCTTGTCCCAAATTCCATGTGTTCAAAGACAAACAAGTCACTGCAAATTATCTATAAATCCGGAATCACTATGTTGCAAAACCAGCATTCTACATCAAGATGCATATAAACATTTTCTAGACTAAAATCAAGCAGTCCTGCACATTCCTTACAATTGCTGTATTTATTTTTATTTCATATTATTTCCATAGAAGTAGTGCAACTCATTTTATGTCTCTATCTTAGGATGTCAACTAAAATGGAGTATACCATTATGCTTGTATGGTGCAGAAATCAGATAATCGTATTCATGTCCTACACAAGCAGACATACAAAAATTTAGAATACTATTATTAAAGTTAAGAAATGAAATTATTCTGTTTCATTTGGTTAGATTGGTTATATAGGCGTCTCATTTGATTTTACTCTCTCATTTTCAGATGTAAACTATTAATAATCTTCTATTTTAATGTTCATAAAACATAATCAATTCTCTACAAACTGAACATTGATACAGTCCGCACAATCTTAAAATTTCATGCACGTTTAGAGCCAAAAATATTTAATAGTTTACGTTAATTATCATCGAAGAGATTGACTAATAGAAGCAAGAGAAAAGAGAGGACCCAAGCAAAATATTTGTATATTCCAGCAAGAAGTAATCGGGAACTGCATTGCAACTTCACTCAAAAATAAAGTTCGAGAGCAAATAACATACAGACTTGGCCTCAAATGTAAAGCGGGGCTGTGAATGAAGTCCGTTCTTTGTGTAGCATGTGAGCATGTTTGGGAGGGTAAACTTAATGAATTTGTCTAACAATGAAATAACTCTTCAACATCAAATCTGTATCTCTGTCACACTTGACATGGAGACATGGTATTCTATATTGTTCAGATAACATTTTTATTGCTTCGCATCTATCTATCAAATTGTTCAGGCAACAAGATAACAATGGTAGCCCTTGTATGCTCTATTTTTCATTTCTTAATTTAGTCACTAAGTATTATAATTTTTGCATGACAGAGCAATCATCTAATCAAGGGCTATGATGTCCCATGAAGTTCTTCATTAAATAAAAATATAGAAAATTTGCATTTTTAAGTACTTCTTCCTGTTATAAACCTTACTATTTGCCTAATTTCTGATACAATATTTGTTCAAGTAGAAACTAATTGTAATGTTCCTTTTCAGTTACCACGTTATTTTTTCAAAATCAATCAACTTAGCCGTTTCAGTGATTCTAAAGGACTTTTAACTATTATCAATAATCTAAACTTTCCTTTTCTTGTGTCGTTTCTTATATTTTTAAAATTTGTATCACAAAATAATGGAAAAAAGATATCTTCGCATTTTCCTTTTCTCCTTCAGTAGATACGTCGCACCTTTTGCTGAATATTATCATAAACTGAGAAAATGTTCTTAATAGTGATATATCTCTTTACTTAAAAATCTTTCTATCTGCCTCTCCAACTGAATTCATGACCTCATATGAGTGGGTTCTTTTCTTTTTCCACAAGTCAAAATTGATCAGTTCTCTTGCATGTGATACAGAAATATTTTGTATAATTGCAGAATTCCATTATGATATAGGATACAGTAATTCTGTAATTTTACCATTCATTTCACTTGTGATACTCTATGAAATTTTATACCACCAGAATCAGTGAAACAAGCTTCGTGTTAACTCATACTTCCTCAAGACACATCCATATGATGGTTCATGTTAAACAGTGTCTTATTCCAAAAGAGCCTCACTTCCAGTTGATGAAAATTACCTGTTATGACTTGTAATAGTTTTCGTCTCTGCTTGAGTACTGGCTGTTTCCGCAACTTCTCTAGGTCGTTATGAGTTAGAGACTCCAGAGGCGCAGACAGCAATGTGGGTGATTCCTTGTGGACTGCATCAGGTGTTGCCAAGCGGTTTGATGACTTCAAGGATTCAACATTATATAAATGTTCCTGCAATACTTGAACAGCTTCTGCTGCGTGCAGACCATGCAAGTCCAATGTCCACTGATCATTTTCACAATTCCTAATACGCAGGATTTCTTTTGCTGCCTTAGCATTAAGCTGTTCAGCAGCATTCCATTCTTCTCGGGCTTTCAGTGAGAAATTTTGGGCAGATGAGTGATCTCCTCTCAGATAGGCATCATTGGCGGCCTTGGAACGACGATATGCTGATCTGTGCAGTGAAGATAATGAAAGTTACAAGTTAATAACAACGTAATCAACAGACTAAGTGCTCATAACCTTGAAACGATGATACGCTGATCTGCCATTTGTACATTTGGAGCTCAAGGTTTCCCTTTAATTCACAAACTTGTTTTATGTACTTCCTCTTGCTCTTATTTTCTTTCTTTTTTTCAGTTTTTGCCCTTTTGCTTGCGTGGTGTCATAAATAACAAACTCAACTTAAAAAAAGACTGAAGGTTATGCTGATTAATGAAAAGGCAATCCAAGGTCCATATATGCTCTTTAACATTTATATTCACCATAAGTATGTGGACTATGACAAGTAAATGAAAATTGAAATAGGGAGCAAAAGGCAGAGGAATGGACAATTCTGAAGACACATGAAAACCAAACACCATCTAGAAAATCCATTATAAAAGTCTAACTTACAAACAATCATAAATCAAATTAATATAAGTAGCAAATGATAAGTTAGCAAATTAGTGTCACGCGACAAATCACAATCTACTAATAGGAGTAGAAACAACCTAGAAGTCTCTCGTATGATGACTACTAACAGAATGCAGAATCCTCAACATATTTGGTGCATGTTTCGGTGAGCTTATAAGGTGCACTCACACAAACATGCTCTTGATTCCCATATCATCTTACTCATCATTGTCAATCGTTATCAATCTCTTCTCATCCACCACATACAATGGCGCCTTCCCCTTCACTTCCTGTCTCCTGTCCCCTTTCCCCTTTTCTTTTCCTTCCGTGTAAAGGCAGAACCCTTCCGTGTAAAGGAAGAAAAATAAATCCTCGGGGCCAATTCGTCATTTGTCGCAATGGTGTCGGAATGGGCTAATATTTAATAGGTTGATCGGAAACAAAAATCGCGCCAAGGGAAATTTTGTCATTTTTCCTAGCAATTTCGTCATTTTTAACGACGATGTCGGAATGGGTTGAAACTTGGCAGGTTAATTGGAAACAAAAATCGCGCCAAAGTCAATTTCGTCATTTGTCGCGACGATGTCCTAATGGGCTGAAATTTGGCAAGTTGATTGAAAACAAAATTCGTGCCGGGGATAATTTTGTCATTTGCCGCAATGGTGTCAGAATGGGCTGAAATTTGTCAGGTTGCTTGGAAATAAAAATCTCACTGGGGCAATTTCGTCATTTATCGCGATAGTGTCGAAATGGGTTGAAATTTTGCAGGTTGATAGTAGACAAAAATCGGCCACGGGCAATTTCATCATTTGTCGCGACGGTGTCAAAATAGGCTAAAATTTGGCAGGTTGATTCGAAACAAAAACCACGCCATGGGTAATTTTGTCATTTGTCGCGATCGTGCACGAATGGGCTAAAATTTGGCAGGTTGATTGGAAACAAAAATCGCGCCAGGGGCAATTTTATATTTGTCCCGACGGTGTCAGAATGGGCTGAAATTTTGCCGGTTGATTTGAAACAAAAATCTCGCCAGGGGCAATTTCGTCATCTTTAGCGACGGTGTCGGAATGGCTGGAATTTGACAGGTTGATCGGAAATGAAAACTGCGCCGGGGCAATTTCATCATTTTTCATGACGGTGTTAGAATGGGCTGAAATTTAACAGGTTGATCGGAAACAAAAATCGTGCCAAGAGCACTTTCGTCATTTTTGCGACGGTGTCAGAATGGGCTGAGATTTAACACATTGATTGGAAACAAAAATCGCGTGAGGGACAATTTTGACATTTGTCACGACGTTGTCGGAATGGGCTGAAGTTTGGCAATTTGATTGGAAACAAAAATCGCGCCAAGGGCAATTTTGTCATTTGTCGCGACGGTCTCGGAATGGGCAAAAATTTGGCAGATTGATTGGAAACAAAAAATTTCGCCGCAGGTAATTTTATCATTTGTCGCGATGGTGTTGGGAAGGGCCAAAATTTGGCAGATTGATGGGAAACAAAAATTACACCAGGGGCAATTTTTTCATTTGTCGCGACGACGTGGGATTGGGCCAAAATTTGGCAGGATGATTGGAAACAAAAACTGCGTAGGGGAAATTTTGTCACTTGTCGCGACGGTGTCGGAATGGGCTGAAATTTGACAGGTTGATTGGAAACAAAAATCGTGCCAGGGGCAATTTCGTCATTTGTCTCGATTGTGTCGAAATGGGCTAAAATTTGGCAGATTGATGGAAAACTAAAGTTGCGCCAGGGGCAATTTTTTCACTTGTCGTGATGGTGTCGGTATTGGCTGAAATTTAGCAGGTTGATTGGAAACAAAAATCGCACCTGGGGCAATTTTGTCATTTGTCGCGATGGTGTCTGAATGGGCTAAAATTTCACAGGTTGATCGGAAACAAAAATTGTGCCAGTGGCAATTTCGTCATTTTTCGCGACGGTGTCATTGTGGGCCGAAATTTGGCAGGTTGATTGGAAACAAAAATCGTGCCAGGTGCAATTTCGTCGTTTGTCGCGACGGTATCGGAACGGGCCGAAATTTGACAGGACGATTGGAAACAAAAATCGCACCAGGGGCAATATTGTTATTTGTCGCGACGGTCTCGAAATGGGTTGAAATTTGACAGGTTGATCGGAAAGAAAAACCACGCCAGAGGCAATTTCGTCATTTTTCACAACGGTGTCAGAATGTGCTAAAATTTGGCAGGTTGATCGGAACAAAAATCGCACCAGCGGCAATTTCATCATTTGTCGCGACAGTGTCGAAATGGGCCGAAATTTGGCAGGTTGATTGGAAACAAAAATCGATCCAGGGGCATTTTCGTCGTTTATCGCGATAGTGTCGGAATGGGCCGAAATTTGACAGGATGATTGGAAACAAAAATTAAGCTAGGGCAATGCTATCATTTGTCGCGATGGTATCGGAATGGGCTAAAATTTGTCAGGTTGATTTGAAACAAAAATCGCCCCAGTGGCAATTTCGTCATTTTTCGCGACGGTGTCAGAATGGGCTTAAATTTTGGCAGGTTGATTGGAAATAAAAATTATGACGTGGGCAATTTTGTTATTTGTCGCGACGGTGTTAGAATGGGTTAAAATTTGACAGGTTGGTTGGAAACGAAATCCGCGCCAGGGGCAATTTCGTCATTTTTCGCAACGTTGTCAGAATGGGTTGAAATTTGCCAGGTTGATTGAAAACAAAAATCGCGCCAAGTTCAATTTTGTCATTTGTCGCGACGGTGGCGGAATGGGCTATAAATTGACAGGTTGATCGGAAACGAAAACTGCGCCAGGGAAAATTTCGTCATTTTTCGTGACGGTGTTAGAATGGGCTGAAATTTGACAGTTTGATTGGAAACAAAAATCGTGCCAGGAGCAATTTTGTCATTTTTGCGACGGTGTCAGAATGGGATCAGATTTGGCCGGTTTATTGGAAATAAAAATCGCGCGAGGGACAATTTTGACATTTGTCACGACGTTGTTGGAATGGGCTGAAATTTGGCCGGTTGATTGGAAACAAAAATCACGCCAAGGGAAATTTTGTCATTTGTCACGACGATGTCGGAATGGGCTGAAATTTGGCAGATTGATTGGAAACAAAAAATTTCTCCGGGGGTAATTTTATCATTTGTCGCGACGGTGTCGGGAAGGACCGAAATTTGGCAGATGATGGGAAACAAAAATTGCGCTAGGGAAATTTCATCATTTGTCGCAACGACGTGGGATTGGGCCAAAATTTGGAAGGATGATTGGAAACAAAAAGTACGCCAGGGGCAATTTCGTCACTTGTCGCGACGGTGTCGGAATGGGCAGAAATTTGGCAGGTTGATTGGAAACAAAAATCATGCCAGGGGTAATTTCATCATTTGTCTCGATTGTCTCGGAATGGGCTGAAATTTAGCAGATTGATGGGAAACAAAAATTGCGCCAGGGGCAATTTCGTCATTTGTCGCAACAGCGTGGGATTGGGCCAAAATTAGGAAGGATGATTGGAAACAAAAACGCGCCAGGGGCAATTTCGTCACTTGTCGCGACGGTGTCGGAATAGGCAGAAATTTGGCAGGTTGATTAGAAACAAAAATTGCGCCAGGGGCAATTTCGTCATTTGTCTCGATTGTCTCGGAATGGGCTGAAATTTAGCAGATTGATTGTAAACTAAAGTCGCGCCAGGGGCAATTTCATCACTTGTCGCGATGGTGTCGACATTGGCTGAAATTTGGCAGGTTGATTGGAAACAAAAATCGCGCCAGGTGCAATTTCGTTGTTTGTCGCGACGGTGTCGAAATGGGCCGAAATTTGACAAGACGATTGGAAACAAAAATTGCGCCAGGGGCAATATTGTTACTTGTCGCAACAGTGTCGGAATGGGCTGAAATTTGACAGATTGATCGGAAACAAAAACCACGCCAGGGGCAATATCGTCATTTTTCGCGACGGTTTCAGAATGGGCTGAAATTTGGTAGGTTGATTGGAAACAAAAATCGCCCCAGGGGCAATTTCGTCATTTGTCACAACAGTGTCGGAATGGTTCGAAATTTGGCAGGTTGATTGGAAACAAAAATTGCACCAGAGGCAATTTCGTCATTTCTCGCGATAGCGTTGGAATGGGCCGAAATTTGACAAGTCAATTGGAAACAAAAATCACGCCCGGGGCAATATTGTCATTTGTCACGGCGGTGTCGGAATGGGCCGAAATTTGACAGGTTGATCGGAAACAAAAATCGCTCCAGGGGCAATTTCGTCATTTTTCGCGATAATGTCAGCATAGGCTGAAATTTTGGCAGGTTGATTGGAAACAAAAATTGCGACGGGAGCAATTTTGTTATTTGTCGTAATAGTGTCGGAATGGGCTAAAATTTGACAGGTTGATTGGAAACGAAATCCGCGTCGGGGGCAATTTTGTCATTTTTCGCGACGATGCCAGAATGGGCTTAAATTTGGCAGGTTGATTGGAAACAAAAATCACGCCAAGTGCAATTTCATCATTTGTTGTGACGGCGTCTGAGTGGGCTATAATTTGACAGGTTGATCGGAAAGGGAAACTGCGCCAGGGGAAATTTCGTTATTTTTCGTGACGGTGTTAGAATGGGTTGAAATGTGGCAGGCTAATCGGAAACAAAAATCGTGCCAGGAGTAATTTCGTCATTTTTGCGACGGTGTCAGAATGGGCTGTGATTTGGCAGGTTGATTGGAAATAAAAATCGCGCGAGGGACAATTTTGACATTTGTCACAACTTTGTCGGAATGGGTTGAAATTTGGGAGGTTGATTGTAAACAAAAATCGCGCCAAGGGCAATTTTGTCATTTGTCACGACGGTCTCGGATTGGGCTGAAATTTGACAGATTGATTGGAAACAAAAAATTTCGCCGGGGGTAATTTTATCATTTGTCGCGACGGTGTGGGATTGGGCCAAAATTTGGTAGGATGATTGGAAACAAAAATTGCGCCAGGGGTAATTTTGTCACTTGTCGTGATGGTGTCGGAATGGGCTGAAATTTGGAAGGTTGATTGGAAACAAAAATCGCGCCAGGGGCAATTTCGTCATTTGTCTCGATTGTGTCGAAATGGGCTGAAATTTGACAGATTGATGGGAAACTAAAGTCGCGCCAGCGGAATTTCGTCACTTGTCGCGATGGTGTCGGTATTGGTTGAAATTTGACTGGTGTATTGGAAACAAAAATCGCGCCAGGGGCAATTTTGTCATTTGTCGCGACGGTGTCGGAATGGGTTAAAATTCGATAGGTTGATCGGAGACAAAAACTGTGCCAGTGGTAATTTCGTCATTTTTTGCGACGGTGTCATTATGGGCCGAAATTTGGCAGGTTTATTGGAAACGAAAATCGCGCCAAGAGCAATTTCGTCATTTG